GCCTGGCCATTTTTTGGTTGCAGCCATCATTGTTGTTTGGTGGGCCCGGGCTGGGGATTCGAACCCGCCACCTTAGGTGTATGTGGCTGGCGCCTTGGCCGCTTGAACCACAGGCGCCGAGCCACTCCCGGCTGGTTTTTCTACTTTTAGTGGAGATGGGATCTCTCTTTTGCTCAGGCTGGTCTTGAACTCCTGAACTCAAGCAGTTCACCTGGCTCGGCCTCCCAGAGTGCTAGGATTACAAGCGTAAGGCACTGCATGCAACCCTTATCTGGCAGGTCTACTGGCAGACCAGTGGCATTAGCTGTGGGGGTGGATATCAAAGTCATTTGATTAATGTTTTCCTGTATATTCTCTGTTACAGGATATAGCTGACCTGGCATTTGAGGTATCAGGGAGGAGGCCCCATCCATTCCCTAGTGTCAGTAAAATAATTGCTGACATGCTGTTCAACCTTCTGTTGCAGGCTCTTTTCCTTATCCAGGTGAGACTGGCCTTCTGGGCACAAAAGCAGATTTATTTATTTTTCTGTTTTTGAGACAGAGCCTCAAACTGTTGCCCTGGGTGCCCTGGAGTCATACCTCACAGCAGCCTCCAATTCATGTGCTCAAGTGATCCTCTTGCCTTAGTTTTTCTATGTTTAGTAGAGATGAGGTCTCACTTTTTGCTCAGGCTGGTCTCAAACCTGTGAACTCAAGTAATCCACCCATCTCAGCCTTCCAGAGTGCTGGTATTACAGGCATGAGCCATTGTGCCCAGCCAAGGGCAGATTTATTTAAAAAAAAAAAAAAAAGTAAAGAGTTTCACTAGAGGGAGCTTCGCAAAGACAGGGTATGGTATATTTATGTTGGAGTATATATGCTTTGTGGGAGGTATTGATTTTTAAATCATTTGTTCATGGAAACGAGAAATTGATAATTATGAAATTAATAAGAAACATGAATTTACCTGCTTTTCTCTGTCACTCTACTCTTTTGTTATTCAGAAACTTGAAGCATCTAGGAAGCTATCTCTGATTATTGGAGGGTGGTAGGTGAATGGTGTTAGATCTCTGAAGCTTTGTAATTAAGATGTACCATGTTTATTCTTCAGGGAATGTTCGTGAGCCTTTTTCCTATTCATCTTGTTGGTCAGCTGGTTAGTCTCCTTCATATGTCCCTTCTGTACTCACTGTATTGCTTTGAATATCGTTGGTTCAATAAAGGTAAGTCCATCTAATGAAACTCGGAATATTGAGGCTTATTAGGAAATGCTATTGCTAAGCAGACTTTTTTTAAATTTCAGAATATTGTGGAGGTAAACACATTTTGGTTACCTAGTTTTTTTTTTTGTAGAGACAGAGTCTCACTTTGTTGCCCTTGGTAGAGTGCTGTGGTGTTACAGCTCATAGCAACCTCCAACTCCTGGGCTTAAGCGATTCTCTTGCCTCAGCCTCCCAAGTAGCAGGGACTACAGGCACCTGCCACAGTGCCCGGCTTTTTTAGAGATGGGGGCCTTGCTCTTGCTCAGGCAGGCCTTGAACTCCTGAGCTCAGGCAATCCACCTGCCTCAGCCTCCCAGACTGCTAGAATTATAGGTGTGAGCCATCATGCCCAGCCTCTAGATGGCTTTTTTACATTTTATGTCAAAATTATAAATGTGCCTTTACCTAGAAGGTGTGTGATATACCCATTATGTGTGAATTTACCCATTCCTTCTTCCCCACTCCAATCAACTTGCATTCCATTGAGTTTCGGTTCCATATGTGCATGTAAGTGTCGGTCGACTAGTGCCAGTTTAGTGGTGAGGACATGTGGTGTTTGTTTGTTTCTTTTTGTGATACTGCACTAAGGAGAATGGTCTCTAGTTCCATCTAGTAGACATGCCACATTTTTTTTTTTTTTTTTTTTTTTATTTTATTTTTAGAGACGGAGCCTCAAGCTATCCCCCTGGGTAGAGTG